CCAACACCACCGATTTTCCTTCATTATGCAGAACCTCCCATTGGACCAGTAGTTGAACCTCCAGATCTGTTTTTTCTTAAAACTACAAAATCTAAACCTTGGCAGGACAATCCAACTAAGATTACAAAATCACCTAAAAATGTTGCAGGTCAAACTCTTGAACATAAAGTAGGGGTGGTTCTGGATCCAGTTGATGTTCAAGCTGAGTCTCCAACACCACCCAATATGTCATTACAGCCACTGGATCAGCAACTCACCGTATCTTCTCAACCTCCTGGTTGGTCTCACCACCCTCCAAATTTAAAGGAGCCTAAAACTCATCCAACACCACCAATTTTCCTTCATTATGCAGAACCTCCCATTGGACCAGTAGTTGAACCTCCAGATCTGTTTTTTCTCAGAACTACAAAATCTAAGCCTTTTCAGGAAACCCCAACTCATATGACCAAATCATCTGTAGAGAATGTTGGTCAAACTCTAGAATATAAGGAGTCAGTGCTTCCAATTCCAGCTGAGGATGAAGCTCAGTCTCCACTACCACCCATTAGATCATTTCAGCCTTTGGATCAGGAACTCAGCGTATCTTCCCAACCCCCAGATTGGACTCACCACCCTCCAAATCCGAAGGAGCCTCCAAATCATTCACCACCAAATATTTTGCTTCATTATTCACAACCTCCTATGGGAATGGTAGTTGAACATCCATATCTGTTTTTTCTAAAGTCTACAAAATCTAAACCTGTGCAGGAGATCTCTTTTGATCAGCCTTCTGAACCTCTTGCTTCGACTCACCACCCTCCAAATCCAAAACAAACTATAAACCATACACCACCAAGGGTTTTCCTTTATTATGCAAAACCTCCAATTGGAATTGTAGTTAAACCTCCAGATATGTTTTTTCTCAAAACTACAAAATCTATACCTGTGCAGGAGAGTGAAACTCAGATTACAGAGTCACCTAAAAAGGTTGTTGCTGAAACTCTAGATTATAAAGATGGCTTGCTTCCAGTTCCATTTGAGAGTCAAGATGATTCTCCAACTCCACCCAATGTTTCATTACAGCCTTTGGATCAGGAAATCACCATATCTGCTCTTTCTCCTGGTTGGACTCAGCAACCTCCAAATCTGAAAGAACATGAGCCAGAAGAGATTTTCTCTCATAATTCAAAACCTTCAATTGGAATGGTAGTTGAACCTCTGGATCTGCTTTTTCTCAAAACTACGGAATCTAAATCTGTGCTGGAGAACCCAGCTCAGATTACTGAATCACCTAAAGATGATGTAGTTCAGACTCTAGAATATAAAGAGGTAATGGTTTCATCCTTAATTGAGGGTCATGCTAAATATCTAACACCCAGTGTTTCATATCAACCTTTAGACCTGGGACTTTTTGAATCCTCTGGCCCCACTACTGAGGTTCATCATTCTACTACTGTCAATGAGACTACTGTTCCTTCTTCAATGCATCTTCATGTCACAAGTCCACATTTGCAATCAGAATTTTCTGTAACTCCACAACCTAATACAATACATTCTATCCAAATGAAGGAGACTCCAGCTCAGACTTCAGAGATATCTATGGAGACTCTAGCCCAATCTGTAGAGCATTATTCAACAGCCATCTTAACTTCATTTTATGTTGAAATTCAACATTCAAATTTATCAGCTATAGAGACTGCACATTCTGAAGTCCCAACAACCACAGCTCCATATCCAGAGGCTATACATTCTGAAGTCTCAACAACTATAGTTGCTTATCCAGAGGCTGAGCATTTTAAAGTCCCAACAACTACAGCTGTTTATCTAGGGGCTGCACATTCTGAAGTCCCAACAACTATAGCTGCTTATCCAGAGGCTTCACTTTGTGAAGTCCCAACAACTACAGCTGTTTCTCCAGAGATTGCACGTTCTAAAGCCCCAGAGACTACAGCTCCTATTCTGAAGTGCTCTAGCATAACAGGTCTACCTCCAGATCAGGTTGAGAAACATCCAAGCCCAACTGAAGTCACAGTTCAAGTTTTGAAAGTGGAATCTACCACAACTCCATATTCTGAAAATTCTAATACAGAAAAAGATTTAACAATAGAAAAAAATGCCTACAATTACACCAACATATGTGACTTCTGCTTGTGTGAAAATGAGACACTGTCATGTGTTCATCCCAGCCCAAAATGGAGACTCCACCAAGTGCCTGTGCCACGGCCCAACACCTACAATGACACTTTTGCTATCTTGTAAGACTCACCTTTTTTTTTATTTCTGTTTTACAGTCTGCCTGACATGACAACTTTTCCCTCAAAGCCTTCCCAGACCATCCTTGTCACCCCAGCTCCCATCGATTGACTTTTTACTTTGACCTTGGATTGTCAACTTTTTATTGTCTTCACTTTCCTTCTTCCTTCAGTGCCCCTTCTCCAATCTTTTATTTATGATAGATTTATTTTTCTGTATTCATTGCTTAACTTCTGTTTTTCTGTTTTACTACAACCTCTTTATAATGTATTTCATTAGTGAAGATTTAACAGACTGATTAGAGAGTAGATTGCAGAGCTAGACTCCTGGGGTTGGAACCCAGGTCCTTCATGTGGTAGCTCTGCAACTCTAGGATTCTTAGAGTGCTTAGCTGTGAATGAACTTCCTAACCTGTAAAATGGGGAGTCTGATAGCTACTCTTTCATAGGACTGTTGTGAGGTTTAGTTGAATACATGGAATATTTATCTTAGTTCTTAGCATACATTAGTGCTAGCTGTTAATACTTTGAAATCTCTCAATTTTGTCCAGAGCTCATTCTTGTTCTTAGCTTTCTATATTTCACATATATTGTGTGCACTGCTCAGGGCTAAGAAGTATGGGAGTCATATATGTATGGCATTTTTCTTTGGAACATGAAATACTAGACAGGAAAAGGGGGAATGCTTTGTTAAAACTTTACCTTTGGCTCAAAGTGTTTCTAATTTTTAAATAAATAGGGATTTTTAATAAATCCCTATATTTTTAAAAATAGGGATTACAGCATAGGCAAAGGCTTAGCTACAAAAATAAGGATTTAGTAGACTCGTTTACCAGCAAAGAGAAAGCAATGAGACATATTATGAAATACTTTGAATATTAACTCTAGTGGTTTGAAAGTCACAGTATTTCACAGTATATGGAGAATCATAATAAATTTCTAAGAACTACTGAAAAACTATTTTAAATGGAGGGCGGAACCTTGCTATGTAGTACAGGTTTGCCCTGAGTTCATGATCATCCTGCCTCAGCCTCTTAAAAAACAAATATAGGCATGTGTCATATCACTCCAATATAGGATTATTTTAGCACCCATATTTTGAGTGATCCCGGAGAGAAGCTTAATTTTTGATGACCATGTAGAAGGATCTGGCAAAATTTAAGAATAAAGTGAGGGAGAACTGAGCCGCTGTGTCCATTTGATAGTGGGAAGAAAACCCTGAATTCCCACAGAGAAGACAGGATTTTAGTGACTGACTAAGAGCTGAGGACTGATGCTGCATTTCGTCCCAGCACTCAGGAGGCAGAGGTGGTAGATGTCTGTGAGTTCGATGTCAGTCTGGTCTACAGAGTGAGTTCTACACCAGACAGGACTTAGAAGTGAGACCTCATTTCAAAATTTTAAAAAATGAGCATTTCCGTCCTTGAGGAAGATGAGGAAGACAGGTTAACAGATGGACTCAGCAGTCAGGAATGAGAACAACATGGAGGTGTTGAGTTCAGTTGTAGGCATTTCCTTTATTGGTGAACATAAAATTAGCTTAGGTTGAGTGGAAATGTCCACTATCAAGTGGAAAGTTTCTTTTCTTCCCTAACATAATAAAAAATATGTTTAATATGAGCAAATATCTCACTGTTTGCACCAGTAGCCTTGTATTCTTAATTGTGCTCCCTTGGAAACGGATAGATTGAGGAATTATGAAGTTGGTGATATCCCTCATTCTGCATTGAGCACTTCCATGAAGATGTTATGATTTTTACTGATTCTGCTTATTCTTTTCCTATCTATTCAAGTATATCAACTTTCTCCACAGAAATTTCAAAGGAAATGATATTTCTTACATTGACAAAAATGTATGGAAGGTATACCGCTGGACTGAGAAACTGTGAGTAGTGTGTGTGCATAGATATATTCTCTGCAAATATTATGCAAAATATTGCACCAAGGCCTTTTTTTTTGGTCTAGATTTTGAGGTCAATATGTCTGAGGAAAGACATTTCCTCTGCACATCCCAGTAAATTTCTGTAGAGTAGATAGCTCAACATGGTAGGTTTAGAGTGGAGATAGGGAGTTCTAATTCCACTAAATAAACAAATAAATTGGTATTGATTACATTTTTCTGGTAAGTTGCATGAGTACTGGGGTGTGGTTCAGCGTTAGTACACTTGCCTACTGCATGAGACCATGAATTGGAAACTCACTAGTGCATGCAAAAATTTTAATTTAAATGTTGTGGGTTTTCGTTGAAAGAAGAGGCAGATTTGATTTGCAGTACAGAAATCATCTATGATGACGTTTGAGTGGTTAGTAATTAAATAAGAGGGATAGTGAAACCTTCTTGTGCCATAATTCCTCACCTGTGAGGTAACCACTACTCTAAGTTGGTATATATCCATCCAGATACATTTGCATATAGAAAATAAGAGTGTCTCTGCTTTCCTTATCTCTTTTACACAAATGATAACATTTGGTAATTTCTTGTTTTCACTTCATGATATTTAAAGTTTTCTTTCACATATGCAGAGGTTTATATTCATTTCTAATTCTATGTAATATTTCATAGTATATACACATCAGTGAGACTTTCATATTACCCTGCTGGTGTTTAGAGACTATCTGGTTTTCCTGTTACATGTTTGGCTGTAATAAAAGTCCTGTATACCTTGGAAAAGTGTTTCTATAGACCAGATATTTAGAAATAGAACCTTTAGGATGGAAACCTTTTTACATACGAAATTTTAATTGCCCTAAAAATAAGTAGTGTCAACTTACATTCTAGGCGATAGCATGTAACAGTGTGTACCTCTTCATCCTATTTCACCACCGATGTTCTCCATCTGTTTGATGATTTTTTAATTTTCCAGCATCCTCAGTGAAAATCACCTGACTGAATTACATAAGGATTCATTCGAAGGCCTGCTATCCCTCCAGATTTTGTAAGTTAGTTGAGCATATCTATTTTTAAGTTAATGAATTATTCGTGGAAGAATTAGATACTAACATCTCTTCAAGCAGTAAAATTGTGCAATTATTGACTAGGTTTGCCAGTGCTTGCTTATATTCCTAGCACTGAGGATGTGGAAAATGGGAGGACTGCTGCAAGTTGGAGATCTGCATGATCTACATAGTAGGCTTCATACCTTGCGGGGAATAATGATGGCTGGTGCGTGTGGAATGATGATGGCTGGTGCGTGTTCACGTGCGGGTGTGAGTTCTGTCTGAGTTGTGAGTCCCTCCCCTCGCCCACTTCTGTTCTTTGCGGGTTCCTCAAGGAGGCACGCCTCCGTAGAGAAGCGTGTAGAAGCACACGAAGGATTTTGACTGAGTAGGTTCTGCGCAGGGCACCAGGCGGGCGCAGCACTGTGAGAAACAGCCAGGGACCTGCTCGGTGTGGGGAGTAAACTCAATCTGATGGGGGGGGGCGGGGGGAGGGCGGTGGCCGCTGTTCCCACCAGCATCTGGGAGCCACAGCACAACAGAGACATGGGAAGTATGGGCGGAACAGGCCCGCACACCGAGAGAAACGAGGGGGGAGAGGGAAGCCCCGACCACCTTCAGGAAGAGACCCTTTGGTTACTCGCTTGGCAGACTGTTGGCCCGGCTAGCTTGCTTGAAGAGACTGGCCTCCCCAGCAAAAGTCCACTGGCAGGCCCCAAAAGACATGAGGGAGTCCAAAGTTCAAAAAGGGCTTTATTGGCATGGCGGATGATAGATGGATCTGGTGGTGCACCCCCACTTAAGTCAGGGTGAACCTGACTTAAATAGGGCTGGAGGAGGTGGCAGGGTCTGGGAAAGAATACTTAATTAGCTATACCCTCTGGCCTTTAGCTACACCCTCTGGCCTTTAGGTATCTCATTAAGATGGAAATCTCTTGAGGCTGAAGCCTGTAGTCACACCCTCCACCAGTGCTAGGTGACACCTCTTTGGGAGGGGCTGCATTGTCCTACGTGACTGAAAAGCGCAGATTAATGGAGTTTGGGGAGTGGGGGAGGCCTCATGTCAGGAGCCTGAAGTCTGGGGGCATGGCCAAACACCTGCCGTTGGCCCATCAGGGTCGGGGTTCAAAACCTGTGCCCAGCCAGGAACCAAGCTATCCTTACAAGGTCCCACAATACCTGTTCCAGGGCTGCTTGGCAAGAGCCTGGCTCTAAAACCATGATTAAAGAAAATCTGCAGTTATGTCGGTCTGTGAGGGTGACAGCTTATCTCTAATATTAAAATGGCTTGTATGCATTTTAAATTATCTAAATCATATAGACAAGCTTCAAAAGTAGAAGAACTCCATTTACAGAAGGAAAATGTTAGTAGGATGTGAGCCATTACGGAAACTCACACGACCCTTGTTTTCTAAGGCATATGCTTCTATTTAGATCTTGGCATACCTCGATCAATTCTGGCTCATGTTCACATTCACTGTGGCTCATGAGTTAGGTTGACGCTCTTACAGGACTTGTGCAAGTTGATGTGACAGGGTGCCCGATAAGAACAACGTAAGGAGGCAAGATTCATTTTGGCCCTTCATCTCAGAAGTTTCCGGTTCTTGATAGCTGGCTCCATTGTTTCTGGGTCTGTGTGTGTGGGCTTAGAAACCTAACATGTTTACTCATTTAGCCTTTACAAAAAGGTTTAAGACAGCATAGTAGGATTTAAGAAATTAATGTTAACTTTGAATAGTTGTATCAAAGAGAAGAAATTAGCCAACTAAATTAGTTTGAATTTGAAGGTCATAAACCCAGAATGCTTTTCCCTTATGAGATACAGTCTCATGTAGCCCAGACTTGCCTTGAACTCTCTAAATAGCTAAAGCTGGATCTGTCAAATTCTTGCATCTCTAGCCTCTTATTTCCAAAGTTCTGGGATTACAGGGATACATTATCACATGGTTTTTATAATTCTGGGGATCAAATCCAAGGTTTGTGTGCACGGTAGGCAAGACCTCTGTCAACCATGATAGATATACCTTATACTCTTTTTTTTTTTTTTTTGAGACTTTGCAGCTGTCCTCCTACTTCACCCTCCCAAATGCTAGGATTGCATGCATGTGCCATCATATCTAGCTTCGTATGACAATTTAACCTGAAAGAAATTGACAATGAAATATAGTAGCTAAGTGGTAGATTATATAAGTATTATTAACATGATTAAGTCATTAGGAGAACAGACTGGTATTACAGTCTTCAATGTAATAATTGTTATGCCCATGTCAAAATAGATACTGAAATAGAGGTTAATAAGTACACACAAAAGTTTACTTGAAGCAAACATCCCAGAAATACCCCTGTTATTCACTGATTAAACAATAAAAGGTAGAGATACTGGCATATGACTTTAATGATAGCACTGGAGAGATAGTGGCAGGCAAGTCTCTTGAGTCTGGTCTATAGTGAGTTCCAGGCCAGTCAGGGCTATATAGTGTCTAGAGACTGTGTAAAAAAGAAAAAGAAAAAAAACCTCAACAATGTTGTTGAATACTTGCAACAGTAACTCTGTGTGTTTCTAGCTAAGAATATACTATGTTGTTCAGTGCCAGAGCTAGATTTCTAACTTTTACCCATAGAGTCCAGAACAGTACAAATCTTTAATCATTACTGAGCTAAAAAGAAAAAAAAGTGACATTTAAAAAAAAATAAATGTGGTTTATTTTCAATTAGAGAGCATTAGGGAAGTGCATATACAGAACCTTATATGGTGTTAAAACTCTTCTGGAAGTCAAGGCCTGAGACGACAATGACAATAAAGTACAAGACTGACTTAAAAAAAAACTCTTCTGGGTGTGGTGATGCACATCTTTAATCCCAGCATTCTGGAGGCAGAAGCAGGCAGATCTCTCTGAGTTTAAGACCAACCAGAGCTGTATAGTGAGACTTATCTTTAAAAACAAAAACATTTTCCTTCTGTAGACACTCAGAGAATGACCATAATTGGTCCTACTTTGTATTGGTTTTTCTTTTGGGGGTGGGGGACAGGGGCTTTTGAGACTAAAGTACCAAACTGTACAAAAATGTTTAGAGAAAATAAAATTAGTGGAGTATTCCTCTTATTATTTTAGTTTATAAATAATTATTTCATGTTAACATAAATCATTCATTTATTTAAATGTTCCAAAATTTTAAAAATGTGTTAAAATAGAACATGCCAAATACTGCATCTGTTATTGGAGGCACAGAGATGCATAATACAAGGCTCCTTCCCTCTCAGAGCTCACACACTGTGAGAGAAACAACACATGAGCATGACTCTTAATGCTGACGAGACACAGAAGATTCAGCCATGAAGTCATAAACTGAATTTCTTCCAAATAAGCCACTTTTCTTGAACTCACCAGCTGTGTGTTTATTTTATAAATACAGGGTCACACCTGGTGAGTAATGCAGATACGTTGGACGCCATGCTCCAAGGAGTTTATTATTAGAAAAAGAGATGCAAAAAATAATTTTAAAAGCATGATGGGGCTGGAGAGATGGCTCAGCAGTTAAGAGTACTTGCTGCTCTTCAGAGGACCCGAGTTCAGTTCTCAGCATCAACATCAGGAAGCTCACAACCTCCTGAACTTCTAGCTCCAGAGGATCAGAAGCCCTTCTGGTCCTCTGTGAACATGTGCACATACACAAAAATAAAAGCAAAATATTCTCTAAAGTACTGAGACCCGAGGAGAGGGCTCAGTGGGTAAAAGCACAAGCCAGGAAAGCCCAGAAACCCACACATTTAGTCCTTAGAGCCCACACTAGAGAAAGCCAAATGCTAAAGTGTACATCTTCAGTTAGCCAGATGCAGTGGTGTGCATCTTCAGTCAGCCAGGTAGCCTCCAGGAAGCAGTATGACAGAAACAAGAGACCCTGCTTCAACAAGGTAGAAGACAGGAACTGATTTCTGGAAACTGTCCTCCTACCTCCACACATATACACATCCATACATACATATTTTTATAGGTCCCTGAGGTATAAATTGTGTCTAGAGCACAGAAGAGGAGAAAAGACTTGAGTTTGGTTCATGGAAACTGTTCCTGTACCGGTGCAATTTGAATAAGACCTTGAAGAATCACTGGGAATAATCAGGCAGGTCTCTTGGGGAAAATGTGCTAAACACTAAAAACAGGAGTGGAGAAAAAAGTATACATCAAAGAGTTAAGAGTAAGCACCTGCATAGTACAAAATGGAAGGTAGATCAGAGCCAGGCCTTCTTTGGGTTTGAGTGCCCAGCCAAGGAACCATGATGGAATCATGGCACTGTAACACATGTGCTAAGACAGCCAGGAGCCTAGAGAACTTGTTAGAACTTCGATCTGACAGCACCCCACCCCTGTTACCAATTTAGTAGTTCTGGAGTAGAGCTGAGAATTTCCATCTTCTAAAGCTCCCAGGTACCAGATTTGTGCTTGTAAATTCAGTATCTAGGAGGCTGAGGTGGGAGGATTATATTCTACATAGAAAGACCCTGTTTCAAAAACAAGTCACTTAATAATTCTCTCAGGAAAGACAACCTCTGAAATTTACCAGGGTTTACAGCTATCTACTTATATGTGAGAAGCATAAAGATTGAGATAAGTAGGATAGGGTTTGGGGCTCAAGAAAGTTCAAGTATAAAGCCAAAGGATTAGTTTAAACAAAACAATAATATTATCAATTCTAAATTATGTTGTTTGTTCATACTAATGAGATATTTGATAGCTAATCAAAGCAATATTTTCCTTTTACTTTTCCTAGGGATTTATCCTGCAATAAAATACGTTATATTGAAAGAAGGACATTTGAACCATTACCATTTTTGAAGTATATGTAAGTTACAAATATAACTCATTCATATTTGGAATTTTATAACCCCATGCTACTTATTTTGATACATGATTAAAAATTTGCTAGTAGGAAATGAGCCACACCCAGTACAAATAGCACATGTTTTCTCTCATATGTAGAAGGTAGACTTATGCGTATTTTTTTTTCAGTGCTGGGGACCAACCCAGGGACTTGTAATTGCTAAGCAAGCACTCTATCAATGAGCTAAATCCACAACCCTTAGACTTACATGTAAATACACACATAAGTCTCATGAATATAGAAGATGGCCTGTGGAGAGGAAGAAAGAAGTCTAACAGTATGTAGAACAATAGAGGATGATGGGAGAAAAGAAAGACAGTGTTTTCTATAAGTTGAAATCTAGATTTAAGTGAGGGGTGTGCGTGCATGTGTGTGTGTGTGTGTGTGTGTGTGTGTTTAACATGAAAGGAAAATTGAGACTCTGTGAGGAGGAAGGGGGAGAAGGGAGAAGGGATAGTGAAGAATGGCATGGAGGATAAGAAGTAAGATATAATGCATATATATACATACATACATACATACATACATACATACCATGTATAATGTGAACTGTCATGATGAAACCCATTATATAAATGAAACAATTTGTAGCTAATAGAAAGTAACTAAAATCACACAGCAAATTATTATGTGTGTGTGTTTATGTGTGCGTACACCCATGTGGATATGTTTTTATTTTCTAGCCTTCTACCATATGAGTCCTGGGGCTTGAACTCAAGCTTGGTGGCAAGCATTTTTACTCACTGAGCTGTCTCACTAACCCACATTTTTTTTGGTCTGTGGTAAAAATGAGAGAGACTTGTGTGACTGTGCACCCGGGTGATATTTGGCAACTGTGGATTTGCAACTGGCATCTAGTATGCAGGCACCACAGCTATTCTAAATATTCTACAGTATAGGACAAATCTGTAAGACAAAACACTGCTCTAGCCCAAAAATTCAGTGCTACTGGGGTTGTGAAACCCTGTCCTAGAGAAGTAAGATCATTGAAAAAAAAGGGGACTTAGCTATCATTTGCTATAACTAGAACATTGCATATATAAATATGAAGTATAAATCCTAAGTCAGTATTACCCACAGTGAGAGTTTCTTAGTGAATTGAGAAAACATTCAGTTTCTGAGAAGGGCTATGTTTCATCATATGTATGTTAGGATGATTGTTACTGTTTTGAAGAATTTTTTCTTTTGGTTCATATACTTTTAATTTTTTAAAAATTACTTTAGGAACCTTGGGTGCAACTTACTCACTGAACTGAGCTTTGGAACGTTTCAAGCCTGGCATGGAGTGCAGTTTTTACAGCAGTTGTAAGTAGGCAAAAGACTCAGAGATCCCCCCCGTTCCCACTATTGAGAGTCCTACAAGAACACCAAGCGACACAACCGTAACATATATGCAGAGGATTAGCTCAGATCCACACAGGGTCTGTCATTGTCCTTTCAGTCTCTGCAATCCCCTATGAGCCCTGCTTAGTTGATTCTGTGGGCTAAGTTCTTGTAGTATTCTCAACTTATCTGGCCTCTACAGTCCTCCCCTCCCCCTTTTACGGGGTTCCCCTAGTTCTACCTAGTGTTTGGCTGTGGGTCTCTGCATTTGCTCCTATCAGTTACTGGATGACTCCTCTCTGATAACATCTGGGCTAAGCACTGATCTGTGAGTATAGCAAAATTTCATTAGTAATTATTTCATTAAATATTTTCCTAAGTCATGTTTGGTTCTATTCTGGGTCTCTAGGCTGTCCTGCCTCTGGTTCCTAGCCATCCAATCAGTGTCAGGTATGGGTTCCCTCTCATGACATGGGCCTCAAGTCATGGATTGACTTGTCCCACAAGTTCTGCACCATAGTCCCAGAACATCTTGTATGCAAGATTGAGCATCCTCATTTGGGCCTTTCTGCTTGTTAAACTTTTACATTCTGTGGGCCATATTGTAGGTATTCTGTGCTTTTTGGCTATTATTCTCTTATCAGTGAGTACATACCATACATGTCCTTTTGGGTCTGGGTTGTCTCACTCAGGGGAATATGTTCTAGTTCTGTACATTTGCCTGCAAAATTCATGATGTCTTCATTTTTAATAGCTGAAAGGTATCCCATTGTGTAAATGAACTATAGTTTCTGTATCCATTCTTTGATTGAGGGACAAGACCACATGGCATTGGTACAGAGACAGGCAGGTCAATCAATGGAATAGAATGGAAGACTCAGAAATAAACCTACACACCTATGGATAGACACTTGATCTTTGACAAAGAAGCCAAAAACATACACTGGAAAAGAAAGTATCTTTAATAAACGGTGCTGATCTAACCAGAGGTCTGCATGTAGAAGAATGAAAATAGATTCATATGTATCACTTTGCACAAAGCACAAGTCCAAGTGGATCAAGGACCTCAACATAAAGCCAGATACGCTGAATCTAATAGAAGACAAAGTGAGAAAGAGCCTTGAACTCATCGGCACAGGGGAAATTTCCTGAACAGAACACCGATGGCTCAGGCTCCAAGGTCAGCAATTGATAAATGGGACCTCATGAAACTGAAAAGCTTCTGTACGGCAAAAGACACCATCAGTAGGACAAATTTGCAACCTACAGTTTGGGAAAAAAAATCTTCACTAGCCCTACATCAACTTCCAAAAATCCAGTAACCCAATTTAAAAAATGGGATACAAAGCTAAACAGAGATTCACAACAGAAAAATCTCAAATGGTTGAGAAGCACTTGAAATGTTCAACATCCTTAGTCATCAGAGAAATGCAAATCAAAACGACCCTGAGATTCCACCTTACATCAATCAAAATGATCAAAAACTCAAGTGACAGCACATGCTGGTGAGGATGTGGAGAAAGAGGAACACTCCTCCATTGCTGGTGGAGGTGCAAACTGATACAACCACTCTGAAAATCAACTTAGTAGTTACTCAGAAAATTGGAAATAGTTCTACCTGAAGACCCAGCTATAGTGCTCTTAGACATATACCCTAAAAGATGCCCCACCATGCCACAGGGGCACGTGTTCCACTATGTTCATAGCAGCCTTATTTGTAATAGCTAGAAGCAGGTATGTACTTCTGTAAGTTAGGAATGTTTTTATGATTTTGTTGAAAATATTTTCTGGATCTTTGAGCTCAATTTCTTCTTTCTTTTCCTCTTCCTCTTCATCTTCTTCTTTATCCTCCTCTCTCTTTCCCTGTTATTCTTAGGCTTGATCTATTCATAGTGTACCAAATTTCCTGGATGTTTTGTGTCAGAAATGTTTTAGATTTGACATTTTCTTTGACTGATGAATCTGCTTCTGCTATAATTTCTTCAGTGCCTGAGAGTCTCTCTTCCATCTCTTGTATTTTGTTGGAGATGCTTGCATCTGTAATTCCTGTTCACTCACCTAGATTTTCCATTTCCAGAATTTGCTCAGTTTGTGTTTTCTTTATTGCTTTCATTTTCATTCTCAGGTCTTGAATAGTTTTGTTTGTCTCATCCAACTCTGGTTTTTTTTCTTGGCTTTTTTTAAGAGTTATTATTCATTTCCTCCTATTTTTTGTTTCTTTTCCTTGATTTCTTTAAGGGATGTATTCATTTCCTCTTTAAGGACCTCTCTCACCTTCATAAAGTTCAGCTTAAGGTTGTTGTCTTGTGCTTCAGCTGTGTTGGGATATTCAGGGCTTGTTGTAGTAGGATAACTGGGTTCTGGTGCTGACATATTCCCTTTGCTATGGTTGTGTTCTTACACTGGTGTCTAGGCATCTGGGTTGAGGGTGATTATAGATCTAGGGGCTGATTTCTGTATTTGTCTTTGTTGGATGGGTGTTTTGTTTCTTGGTTTCTGTTTCCTCTCTGGTCTTCTGACCAGGGTAGCCCATAGTTGAATAGAGAGTCTTCACCCAAGTTGGTGGCTGGACTTCTGATGCCCAGGTGGCTCTGTTGGAGCAGAGGCCTTCCACCAGATTTCTGGGCTAGGGTTCTGGCAGCCTACATGGCCTCAGAGGTTCTCAAAGGCTCCTCATTGCACAGGATGTGTCAAAAACCTGATCGGGGGCTCTAGCAGCTTCTGTATTAATAAACACTGCATGATTATTAATCTAATATTTAATCTCCAAAATTAGCTAGAGATCAGGCCTCTCAAGATCCATAGTCACCTCTGATTCTAGGTACCTACTGAATACAGCCTCCATGTTACTGTCAAACACCGATGCTACATGTTAGCAGTACCCAAGGGGCAGGTGCTCTGGAGTCTGAAATTCAGGTCAAAGATACACCAAAAGCTCATTAGTTACGTACCATTGTTTGATTGATAGCAGGAATCTTACCTCATTTGTATGAAAAATGTTACAAAGAACGAGTAGTGGCTTATAATCTACATAGTAAGTGTATACCTACCCCCTGAATTAAAGTGCTTCTTCATTTACCCACGGAGACCCAAACTGGTAGCTTTTAAAAATCATTTTCATCAATTAATTGCTTCTAACAATACAAATTCCATGATTTTTCAAACTGAAGAACTCCACAAAGCAGAATAGCTTCACATTATTCACATGCTGGTTTCTCTAATGCATTCAAACATTATGCTAAAAACAAATGCATGCTAAAGGAAAGTGAAAAATCTAAGCTTTCCCCTTCCTAAAGCTTCTAGTTACTGTTGAACTTACCTACAGAGCATTATCTACCCTGAGTAGAGCCACACTGAAGCAGTGTTTCTCCTGCTCCACTGATACTGGCTTCCTGTAGGAAGCTAGTCATCACCAAAAGTTTGCTTCCTTCAGGAAATGGTCCTCCCTTTGGTTTGGACAGGATTCCTGTCTGCTGCCTCTCACATTCAGAGAGGCACAAACATTGAAGGTGAAATAGCAACTCGAGTTTGTCCTTTGGGATAATTTAATTTAATTTGTAGTCATCCAGCAGTTTTGAGAGGGTCACATCCGTCATTTGTGACACCTTTCTTCTCCCTATTGCATTCTATTTTCCTACTGGTATAGCAAGGCGCCTCCTCTAATCCTGATAATTTGTCCTTTGCCTGAAACCAGTTTTTGGATATGAGATCCGAGGTGTCTATGATGTTTCTGAGGTGTCTATTGTGTTTCTGGTACTACATAAAGTATTGACACAAATAAGGTAATATGTTGAGCTTCTTCAGGAAAACACCAAATGGCACCAGTGCAACAGGAGGCCTGGGAGGACCTGGGGGCCCAGGATTAGGAGGCCACGGTGGCTTCCATGGAGGATTCTGCAATGGTCTTAGGGGCCATGGGCATGGCCAAGGCATTGGCATGGTGGAGGCTGAGGGGCTCGTGGAGGAAAAGCTGAAGACAAGGAGTGGATCCCCATCACTAAGCTGGGTGGCCTGATTAAGGACATGAAGATCAAGTCCTTGGAGGAGATCTACTTGTTCTCCCTGCCCATTAAGGAGTCTGAGATCATTGACTTTTTCCTGGGAGCATCCCTAAAGGGTGAGGTTCTGAAGATTATGCCAGTGCAGAAGCAGACTCGGGCTGGTCAGGAGACCAGGTACAAGGCTTTCATTGCTACTGGGGTCACATTGGTCTTGGTGTTAAGTGCTCCAAGGATGTTGCCACTGCCATCTGAGGGGTATCATCTTGGCCAAGCTTTCCATCATTCCTGTGTGGAGAGGCTATTGGGGAAACAAGATTTGCAAGATCCACACTGTTCTAAGCAAGGTGACAGGCTGCTGTGGCCCTGTGCTGGTACATCTCATCACTGCCCCCAGAGGCACTGCCATTATCTCTGCTCCTATGCCCAAGAAGCTACTGATGATGGCCAGTATAGACTGCTACACTTCAACCAGAGGCTGCACTGCCACCCTGGGCTACCTTGCCAAGGCCATCTTTGATGCCATCTCCAAGACCTACAGCTACCTGACCCCTGACCTCTGGAAAGAGACCATGTTCACCAAGTCTCCTTATCAGGAATTCACTGATTATCTTGTGAAAACCCACACCAGAGTCTCTGTTCAGAGGACTCAGCCTCCAGCTGTGCCTACCACATAAGGGTTTTTATACAAGAAAAATAAATTTTCTGTTTTTTTAAAAAAGATAATATGTTGAAAGTGCATAGAATAGTGTTTGGCACATGATAAATGCTCAAACACTATACCTCATTTTTTACTTTCCCCCAGACTCTTGCAGTGTTACTATTCTTTTTTCGGTTGTTTAATTTATTTTTTGTATATGAGTGATCTGTCTTCACACACCCACACCAGAAGAGGGAATTGGATCCCATTACAGATGGTTGTGAGCCACCATGTGGTGGTTGGGGATTGAACTCAGGACCTCTAGAAAAGCAGCCAGTGCTCTTGACAACTGAGCCATCTCTCCAGCCCCACAGTATTAGTATGCCCAATTTGTGAATGAAAACTGTTGAAACTGAGAGATCTTGACTCACTTGTCCAGGTTCACACCATTAACACATAAAGAACCTCTTAGCAGCCTTCTGTGTAAATTTCTGGGTAGCATTCCTTCACGTATAATAGGAGCTAAACTCATCAATCCATTTTCCTCAGGAAACACTAGAGCTTCTGGACACAACACCTTCACCCTTCTCAGAGCTCCTGCCCCTAATGCACATTGGCTGTGTGAGCTCACTACTGCTGAGTAGATCTGGGCATGCCCCTCTTAGATGTCTCTCCCTTTCTCATTCTCATTCACTCAAGGCAGGAAAATGCTATTAAGGACTTTGTAAGTCTGAGGTTGTCTTAGGCAGTCATATCAGTAGAAAATACAGATCTAGAATTTGAGTCTTGCTGGTTTTAATGGTCTTAATTCTCTTCGTTTTCATCACCAGGCAATCTTCCTTAAGGTGATTCTCAGCATTGTGACTAAGATATCTCAACCTTTCTATTTCCCTGGACTCTACTGGTATAACACAAAATAGAATCCTATACTGAGGAGCTTTGAGTGTCGAGGCATGCTAGAAGGCTCATGGACCTTATAGATGAGGAAAAGAAAGGGTGTCTTCTTTCTTCACATTCTTCTTGTACGTTGAAACAGGGTCTGGGTCACTGCTCATTTCTCTGACCATCTTCCTCTAAGGAAGCCATTTCCCTGTCTGCCTTTGGGATACTAGTGTGGATGCTTTTGGAGGCAGCCTTAGCTTCCCCCTTCTACCTGTGCAGAACTGCAAGGCCAGCCAGGGGGGAACTTCCTTGGGTATATTTGGTTGTTTTCTACCTATGCTCAAGCATACACACGTGCGTGGCCTTCCCAATACTCAAGCTTGTGCTCCTCTCGGTTTTCAGGAATATATGGGAGCATCTTAGATTTCCTACAGATGTCTTATTCTTCAACTTTTCTGTTAAGCTTGTTGCTTAGGCTATTTTCCATCCTAACTATAAATCTGATTTCTCACACAGCTGTCATAGTTAAAACATTTGCCTGGAATTGTTTTCTGAAATCAACTCTTAGAAAGACTAGCATGCAGTTATATTAAATAAAGACAGGCCATTATAGTGACATCTCCCAGGGACTCACCAGGGACTTCAAATTCCTACTTTATTTTTTATGATCCTATAAACACACGTTGCTGGGCGGTGGTGGCACACGCCTTTAATCCCAGCACTCGGGAGGCAGAGGCAGGTGGATTTCTGAGTTTGAGGCTAGCCTGGTCTACGGAGTGAGTTCCAGGACAGCCAAGGCTATACAGAGAAACCCTGTCTCGAAAAAAGAAAAAGAAAAAGCAAAAGAAAAGAAAAAAAGAAAAAGAAGCAGACACATTCTATAGCCTCTGTGTGCCTAGTTTTCTCATGGGTAAATTGATCAATAATAACTTACCCACTTGAGTTATTGTTACAATTAAAGGTAAAACAGCACAATAGATTTTTAATGCAATGTTTTTATTATTTCTTTGAGAATTGCTGGGTTCTGTTTACGGACCAGTTTGTTAGTCTTTGTATTTTTATTGGGGAATCAAGTCCATTGATGTTAAGAGATATTAAGGAAAAGTGATTGTTGCTTCCTGTTATTTTTGTTGTTAGAGGTAGAATTGTATTTGTGTGGCTGTCTTCTTTTGGCTTTGTTGAAAGAAGATGACTTCCTTGCTTTTTCTAGGATGTACTTTCCCTTACGAATTTTATACAGTGTAATTTCATGATATTCACCCCCTTCTCCTCCAACTCCTCCCAAGCCCACCCCCAACTTCACGTCTTCTTTTTTAGTCATTTGAATGAATACATGGTCCCCAATTGGTGATTCCATTTGGGAAGGTTTAGGAGGTATGGGCCGTGTTAGAAGATGTATGTCTTGGTGATAAGCTTTGCGGGCTTAAGGATCTGTACATTTCCAGTTTGCTCTCTCTGCTTTGTGTGGTTAAAGATGTGAGCCCTGAGTTTCTTATGCATGACTGTGCTCTACTACTGTAAGCTCTTAACTTTCTGCAACTCTAAGTCCAAATAAACTATCTTTTTTTATATGTTGCCTTAGGTATAGTGCTTTGTCACAGCAAGAGAAATACACCCATTGTTCCCATGTATTCCTATGTGTGGAAGCATCACTGGTGCATGATCATCTTATCAGGGGTTTCATTCTGAAAAACTGACTTACTCCACTCCAAAAAAATTCAGCTGTTCATAACTCCTGGGCTGTGTCTTAGGGTTGTATGGCTGTGAAGAGATACCATGACTACAGCAAGTCACAGGAAAACATTTAATTGTGACTGGAGAAGGAGCTGAGAGATCTGTATCTAGAGGTCAGGCAGCAGGAAGAGAGAGTGACACTGGGCTTGGCTTGAGCTTCTGAACCCTTAAAGCCCACTCCTAGTGACACTCTTCCTCCAACAAGGCCACACCTCCTCCAACAAGGCCTCACTTCCTATAGTGCCACTCCCTAAGGGCTTATGGGAACCATTTTCATTCAAACTACCACAGGGTGAGACTCGTGAATCCCCTTCCCCTCCAGCACAATCAGTGTTAGTGAAAGTAATTATTAATATGTGCTATAGACATACACTGAATTGTGATTAGCTTTAACCCAAAGGCAGATTTTCTATTATTCTGTTTAATTTCAATTAAATTTATTTTTGGTTGTTTCCCAGGCTGGGCAAGAAAACAAACCCTGTGTCCACAGTGTGGGAGAGAAATTTATTGATTTCATTGATGTATAAACAATGTTGCTTATTTATCCAGCAAACGCTTGTTTAACACCATAGAAATTTCAGGCACAGGGGTAACTGGCTTCAGAAGTTTTAGATCAGGAGACTGACAAATGATCACAGATACCCTCACACAGGCTTTGTTAATCAAGAATACAAGGGAGAGTATTTTATGGAGCCTGAATATAGACCCAGTTCCTCCTCTGACATCCTCTTTTCTTTGGCTACACAGCCAGGGAAATGGTCTCCCCACCCCACACACAGACCCTTCCACATGTTTTTGTCTTTGATTGAGTGATTTTAGCACAAATTCTTTTATATTTTTTAAAATGGACAGCATCTTGAATAGTGGGACACATTAAAATGATGTTTTCTACAGTGAAAGGGTTTACTACCAGTGTACTTGTTTATGGGATTAAAAAAAATTGTGTTTATTTATTTTGTGTGTCTTGAGTATTTTGCCTGTGTGTATTTACATGCACACATTGCCCTCAGAAGACAGAAGACAGCATTGGATCCCCTTGAACTAGAGTTATGGATGGTCGTGAACTACTCTGTTGATGCTGTGACCTGAACAAGAGCAGCCAGCAGTGCTAACCACTGAACCATATCTCCAGCTCTGTGTCTGTAGGTTTTTTGACCTAAAAGTTCTCTGGCATTTTTTTCTTTTCAATCCACTATTATTTTCTGTTTTTCTCCCCCTGATATTTTTTGTTCTGTTTTGTTTTTTAGTGTCTGCTCATTTGTTACATGTCTCTGTGTGGGTAAAAGAGTGCCAGGGCATGTGATTGACATGACATGTATGTAGAGGTCAAAGGGCAACTTGGGGAGCTCAGTGTTTTCCTTCCATCATGCAGGTCCTGTAGACTGAACCTAACTTGTCAGACTTGGCAGCAAACACCTTTACCTATTAAGCAATCTTGTTGGCCCACAAAGTGATTTTTTAAAAAAAGTTCCATATCAAAGAAATTAAAATATAAGTAGACTCATGCATATTGAAAATGCTGGTAATTTCAATAAAATTGTATTTTTCAGAATTCTCAGCCGTAATCCTCTCGCAGTTGTTGAAGATCCCTACATTTTTAAATTGCCAGCATTAAAATATCTGTAAGTATTATAAGCTTGTGAATCATGAGATGGTTTCTATCCTTACTGACTTTCACCAGAGAGCATTGTTTCTCATTTCTTATTAGTTCTTTGCTAACATCATACACTGTATTTTGATTATATGTATCCCTTCCCCAACTCTTCCCAAATCCATACTCCATCACTACTCACCTAGCTTTGTGCTCTTAGACTTGTTTGTGTGGCTTTCCAGTGGAATATGGTCAACTTACCTGGGGACACACTTTTAAAGAAGGCTCTCCCTGTCTTAGTTGCTATCAGTTTCCAATAGCCCTTAGCTATGGACATCACCTTATGCTCCACTTCCCTCTTCGGGTTGGAATTTTGTCTACCTTGTCTTTGTATAAGTCTCTTGCATATACATGCTGTCACAATTTCCATGAATTCATGTGTGTGCATGCGTGTGTGTGTGTGTGTGTGCACACGCGTGCACTTTAGGAAGCTTCTATAGTAGTATGTTTCCATAAAACATTTTCAAAAAATCTTTAGTGTTAGTTATTCCACCCTAAATTCTATCTTCTGCCCTGCATATCAAAGAATATTTTGTCTTAAGGATAAAAATAAATTGCCAGGTGGTGGAGGCGCCACGCCTTTAATCCCAGCACTTGAGAGGCAAAGGCAGGTGCATCTTTGTGAGTCCCAGGACAACCTTGTCTACGGAATGGGTTTCAGGACAGCCAAAACTACACAGAAAAATCCTGTCACAAACAAACAAGTCACAGTTTTAACTATATGATTTTAACCGCTAGCGAGGGGCTGGAGGGATAGCTCATTAGTTAAGAATACACGCTACTCCTGCAGAGAACCCGGGTTTGTCTCTCGGCACCCAGGTTGTCTGCCCATAACTGCCTTTGTCTCCAGCTCGAGAAGAATTTGATGCTTATTTTTAAAGAGAAAAGAAAGTGTAAAGTAAGTAGTTACGGAGTAAAGGCAACATGAGAATGAGAAGATCGATTGTGTTCCGTGCCAGCCCATTGAGTGGACGGTGTAAGTAGTAACCTTAGCTATAGTGAGCTCTGTAGAAGTTCTTCTAGGAAGGCTGTCACAACTTCCATGAATTCGTGTGTGCAGCTGGCCTGACATGTTTGGAAACAGTTTGCCTGTAGTCATTACAGGGAGTGACTACACCTCTGGCTATTACAGTCTTTCTGCCCTTTCTCCTGCAATGACCCCTGAGCCCTGGGAGAAAGATGTGATATATACTGTCCCATTTAGGGCTGAGTATTCTGTAGTCTGTTATTCTCTGCACCTTGACCTCTGTGAGTCTCTATGAGCCAGGTAGTTTTATAGGAAAGCTGAAGGTTAAGTAAACGTGGTGAAATGTGTCATTATGAAGTCTGTCTTTCTCCTTCAGGGACCTGGGGACCACACAGGTGCAACTGACAACGGTTGAGAACATCCTCATGAGGACTCTGAAGCTGAAACATCTGTAAGGTTTATCTTAGAATAATTTCACCTACTTCATAAAAGTTTATTTTTTTTGCTAGTTTTTGTTTATTTTCTGAAGTCAAGATTATTGATGTATATAGTTTTCATACAATTCAGTTAGAGTTTGCATAGTCATCTAACTACTACTACACAGCTTAGGCAACTTTGCAAACTCTTTCACCCCCAAAAGGCCTGCCGTGGGCAGTGAAATGGCTCAGCGCATAGCACCATGAAAGCCCAGAGACCTGAGCTTCATTCCTGGAGGCAACATTGAAGTGGAAGGAGAGAGCCAACTCAGTAGGCATGTCCTTTTACCTCCACAGGAGTGCTCAAACACATACATGCACATATGCAATACTAATAAAAGGTCAAAGGCCTTCTCAGAGTGGAAGCAAGAGGATAAAGTAGTAACGTATCTTTGGCTACACAGATAGTCCTTGGATAGCCTAGGGTAAATATGAGAGCCTGTCTCAACAACAAGAAAAGTTGCCTCTACTAGCTGGTACCTAGGAGTATCTGTGTCCTTGTAGTCTACATTACATTTACTTAATAACTGGTATTGTGTAGTGTCTAGTTATACTCCAGTGTGTTTTAGTGGTATGTGTTTAAGCCTGTGTTCATATCTGAATCCCATGTGGTTGTTCTTATTGAGCTTTGGTTTTAGTTTGTCTTTGAGACTTAGGGTCTTTTTATATACCCCAGGTTGCCCTTGAGCTTGTGCTATCCTCGTGCCTTTGCCTCCTGAATCCTGTCTTTACACACTTTTGTCACTATACTCAGTTTCTTAGCAAGGATCTGTTTTTCTCTATTTATTTTGTGTGCATGCGTTTGTGCACATGAATGTGTGTGGTTAGAATATTCCATGACATGCATGTGAAGGTCTAAGGACAACTTCCAAAAATCTCCTCCCACCATATGGGTTCTGAGTATGGCACATGCCCTTACCCACTAAGCAACCTTGCTGAGTTTTTAAAGTTTGTTTTCTGTATTCTGCACACAAGTCTTTTGTCTCAGTTACGTGTTTAGTAAGTATCTTCTCTCTGATTATGGTTTGTGTTTTCACTAATGAAGTGTCTTCTGAAGAGCACATGTTTTTACATTTTTATGTATGACACACTCTAGCTGTTTTTTTTCTTCTACTGTTTGTGATTTTGTGTGTGTGTGTGACTTAAACAAGAAATCTTTGTCTGAGTTACCCAGTTTTGGAAGTGCAGCCCAAGTGGATAAGAATGGCATTGGAGTGAAAGTCTGGAGGATGGCAGCCTACAACCCATGTAGAGGGAGGCCAAGTAGTTATAGTTTGCATGCACTGGCCAGTGCTGTTTTCTGACCCTCACTGCAAAGGACCAGGCAGTGGTTAGCTGCCTAGCACTGTCTCCTCTTGAGTAAGGGTCTCAAGAGGAAACCTTATGCCCCCATGGTTCTCTCTCGGGTTGAAGGAAGAAAAACACTCAGGTGGCAGGGCAGTTTTGCAAATGATGTTTCTGAAGACTCTGTGGAAGCTGCTCAAGATGCACATAACAGGCAAGCTCAGAGTCAGGCGATGCACAGTGCTGAGTGCCCGAATTCTCCAGCCTGCCAGGAGCCACGAGACACTACTCTCACACGCCTTCCAGATGTCTGTGATATATTTATGTCTTCAGAAGAATTGCAGCTGTTACTCAGCTTCAGGTGAAGAGTGCCAAAAGAGAAAGCTATGTTTTCTGAGGAAGATGAGGATCTGGAGCAGAACTGCCAGCACTGTAGCAACCTCCGTGTGCTAAGACACAGGAATTCGTCCCTGGTGATGTCAACAATGCAGAGTCAAAGCCTCACAGTCAACACTAAGAGGAGTGCACACTGCAGACAGGGAAAGAAAGTAGGAAGAGCAGAAAAGGAATCAGCAAAGATAGAATCCTAGTGTATTTCAAAGGACTCGGAGTTCTTATCATCTCTAGAGATAACAGCCGGGGTTAGTGAGTCCTTCCCCAGGGAACTTGACACCCCTAATCAGCAGGAAGTAGTCTAAAGATAACATTGCTCCTTTCCTTTCTATCCCTTTTTATCTCTTATCTAGTGATAGGGGGTTGGAAGGGTAGAAAAATGATAGAGAAGGGTGGAAAAAAGAGCCCACAAAGTATCAAAAGCTAGCTATAAGTGGTGCTCAGTCATGGGGCTAGGCAGAATGGAAATTTGATTTCAAATACTGTGGAGGAAATGGCAGCGGAAGGAATGGTTTGTTTTTGTTTTTGTTTTTTTAAGACACCAGCAAAATTTATTGTGGCTGCTTCTGCTGGGGTATCCCCCACTCTGCTTCTGCTGGGGTATTATGCTTCCAGAGGCAACTTTCTGCCTTTTTTTTTTCTTTTTCTTCTTCCTGTAATACTGTTTCAAAGAGGATTGGAAGAAAAAGAAGATTGGAAGAATGGCTGAGCAACTGGAAAAATTTCGGGTGGAAATGGAAGGACCCGAGAAACAAAAAAAATGGCTGAATTGGGAAGCCCAAAGGTTCCCTCTGCTCTCTTTTCTGAGAGGATTGAGAGTTGTCTGTGCAACTGGAAAAATTGTGGGTGGAAGTGGAAGTGGGGTGAGGGGCCCCAGAAAGGGAGACCAAAAGAGCACAGCTCTGGTGACTGAGCGAGACAGCAGGAGCTTCCTGAAGGAGGAGAGAGGGAACCAGTCCACAGTAGCAATGACTGTCATGGTGGAGGGGAGAAGCCACAACTATTCAGCAGTGAAAGAGTGAGGGGAATATAGTAAATTACCAGTTGCTGAGTAAAGGGTGGTGCTCTGATATATAAGACCAGATAGATTTTGATGATGGTACTATAGCACAATGTTGCTTTGTGGCTTTAAGAGCTTGGGACAAAGTTGAGGAGCCTGGGAAAATATCCACCTCATTTATACAAAGATTATACAAAGCTCTGGGGAAGCTGTCACTGATTTTTTTTTTTTTAACAAAAATTAGTCTCAGCTGTGAAGAAAGCATATCAAAATGCAAATACTGAATGTAAAAAGTTATTAGGTCATTGAAGTCTTGAACCTATAGATGAGTGGATAAGGGATAGAATCAATACTGGTTCTAAACATACCATGCTAAAATAATAGGTCAAGCTATAGCTAGAGGTCTCCAGTATCAAAATACCCTGTGCTTCAGTTGTGAAAAATATGGCTATTTACAAAGAGACTGTGACCAAACTGCTAAAGGTCTCAGATCTCAATATGTCTGGTATGTTAACTGTGAGAAATAGGGCATTTTGCCCTAAAAAGTGAACAAAGCAATGGTTTTTCTAAGTATAAACCAGAAAGAAGGCCTAGGCTTCTAGGGATGTGCAGGCAATGTGGCAAGGGTTGTCACTGGATCAATGAGTATAGATCCAAGAGAGATATCCAAGGAACCTAGCTCGAGGCCCTGCAGCAAAAAAAGAAATACAAGCTATTTGCCTCTTGTCAGCTGGGAAATAATAAGCAGGAAGTACTTCTCTAGATTTAGCTACAGATAACAGATAAAGATTAGAATTGAGCAAGAGAAGTCTGAAAATCTTAGCTACCAGCTCAAAAAGCATTTAGTTTATTGAAAATGTGTGTTTATAATTTCCTACTACACATATTACAATTAATGGCTTAAAACAGAAGTAGGAAAATGTAGTGAGAATTTTAGTTTTGGTTTCTTTGAAAAACACAGAAATATTATGGGAACGCTTTTTCATTTTAATCCCAGGTGTGGGGGTATGGGGTTGTTTCTCAGCAGCTGACTATGTTTTGCCTTGTGCTCTAGCAGGGGTGTGATTTTGCAGCAGCAGATATTTCTGCAATTATGTGACATTTGGAATTCAGGGGACTTTTCAGAGGGTGTGTAAATGCCAGGGCCCCAATAGGTTGTTGGGTTGTTGGTTGGTTGATGTTGGTTGGTGTTGGTTGATGTTAGTTGGTGTTGGTTGGTGTTGGTTGATGTTGGTTGGTGTTGGTTGATGTTGGTTGGTGTTGGTTGGTGTTGGTTGATGTTGGTTGGTGTTGGTTGATGTTGGTTGGTGTTGGTTGGTGTTGGTTGGTGTTGGTTGGTGTTGGTTGATGTTGGTTGGTGTTGGTTGGTGTTGGTTGGTGTTGGTTGATGTTGGTTGGTGTTGGTTGGTGTTGGTTGGTGTTGGTTGGTTGGTGTTGGTTGGGGTTTGCTAAGTTATTCACAAAGTAGAAACAACAACAAGAAGAAATGAGATATCCTGACTGGAAAGATCAAATTTGCCCCAAGGAACTCAACATTCCTAATCATCAGGAAGTAGCCTAACAGCACCCCTTTCCTTTCTGTTGTTTTTTCTCCCTTATCTAGTGTTAGGGGCTTGAAAGGGTGATGAATGGGTAGAAGAAGGAAGAAACCACAAAGTAGCAAAAGCCTGCTACAGAGTAGGGTGGCTTTGCTTGCTCACTACACAAATGTCCTATGAGTTCTTCACATCATTGATCCACTGAAAGCATCTGGAAGCAGGGAATCTTGGGCAGAGACTCTCATCCTGTTAGCCTCTGATTTTATATTAGACATTTCTTCCATAAGCAGTTAGTACCCTAGGTTGTGTTTTGCTTGACTGGAGAGTTCTTTTGAAGAAAGTGAGATACAAATGAAGGAGTAGGAAGATGAAAATGAGAAAGATGATGACCCAGAATGGTCCAATTCTTGTCTCTTCATCATCCATACATTTTTAGAAGAAAAAGAAAAAAAAAACAGCTAGCCAGCTGAGGACAGTGAGAAACATTGTCTCCAAGGGTGTTACCTCATGGATGGCTGTCCAGACTTCTAGACCACCTGTGGACTTCCCAGGTTCTGCCTTTCAGAACATCTCGAAGACCTGATAGACTGGGGCAAATCTACTCAAGAGACCACAGAGACTAGGGATATTGTACTAGGCATCCACAGTCTCCTCTCTTACAGTTGATGGCAGCCTGAAACACTCCCAGATTTGAAGAAACCCAACTCTGTTTCCAGCCTTTAAGTTTTTGACTTCAGTGGTTTGCCTTGGCACTCAGGAG